CCGCATCTCGGTGGGGGCCGAGGCTGCCAGCACGGTGGGCGCCCAGCTGGACCCCATCCACCTGTCCATCTTCTCGCACCGCTTCATGAGCATCGCTGGTGAGTGGCCCTGCCGGCCCCTGGCCCTGCCGCCGGCCTCATCCGGTGCACGCTCTGCCTCCTGGGCAGAGGTGGGCACAGCAAGTGTCACCCGGGGAAGGGACAGGCGCAGAATCTTGGCTGGTGGCAGGGTGGGCACGGTGGCCCTGGCTCTGGGATGGCACAGGCCCCCTGCACTGGCAGGCCTTGGGAAGCGCGTGGTCCTCCTCCTATTAGCGGCCCTGTGCCCGGGGGTTGCCTTCTGTCTGTGTACGGGCAGTGGGCTCAGCACAGCGACCCCACCGCCACAGCGTCAGGCTGAGGGCACCAGGCTCTCACCATGCGTGGCAGGGCAGCTGGGCATGGGGCCCAAGGTCCTCGCTGGTCCTGGCTCTGGGCCTCAGGTCCGGCCTCCCCATGCCCGGGGCTGAGCTGCGGGAGGGCGGGGCCCGCGGCGCCGGGTCACTCTGTTCCTTCAGAGCAGATGGGCCGCATCCTGCAGCGCACGGCCGTCTCCACCAACATCAAGGAGCGCTTGGACTTCTCCTGCGCCCTCTTCGGGCCCGATGGGGGGCTGGTCTCCAACGCCCCCCACATCCCCGTGCACCTGGGCGCCATGCAGGAGACCGTGCAGTTCCAGGTGTGTTGGGTCCCTCTCCCTGCCCTTCTCGCCTGCCCCACCTCTGCCCCACCCCCTCCACACTGCTGACCCATGTCCCGGCTGCAGATCCGGCACCTGGGGGCTGACCTCCACCCTGGCGACGTGCTGCTGAGCAACCACCCCAGCGCAGGGGGCAGCCATCTGCCAGACCTGACCGTCATCACGCCGGTGAGGGCCGCTGCCCGGGAACCTCGGGGCGCAGGGAGGCCACACAGCTGACCGCAGCTCTCCACTCCTAGGTGTTCTGGCCGGGACAGGCTCGGCCCGTGTTCTACGTGGCCAGCCGCGGACACCACGCAGACATTGGGGGCATCACGCCAGGCTCCATGCCCCCGCACTCCACCACGCTGCAGCAGGAGGGCGCTGTTTTTCTGTCCTTCAAGCTTGTCCAGGGAGGAGTCTTCCAGGAAGAGGGTGAGCGGCAGTGGGTCTGGGGCGGGGACAGGGTTCAGGGGGCTGCACGCATGGCTGCTGCCTACAGCCAAGCCAGGCCGGACCCTGGGACACAATCCGCCGGCCCAGACCTGCCTCGAGGCTGGGGGAGCCAGGTGGTGACGTCTCTCAGAGATGACCGGAGGAGCTAAGTTCTGCCTGGGCCCAGGAAGGCCTCATTGGTTTTGAGGGGGGGGGAGTTGGCCAGGACACTGAAGGGACCAGGCACAGCGTGGCGAGGAGCCTACTTCAAGGTGTTCAGTCTGCACTTGGTTCGCACCAGGTGTGGGGGCCGCAGAGAAATAGCAGGGCTGGGGCTGCAGGCCCTCGGAATGCCTCCCCGCGCCCGGGGCCGAGTCCCTGGGTGGTGGGGCAGCCGGGCGGCTGTGAAGGGCTCCAGCGGGTGCCCGCGGGTCCGCTTGTTGTACCATGACAGCCCCGGCCACACGCAGAGTGGGTGGGCGTCCCAGGTGGCCGGGACCCTGCGCAGGGGCAGTGGGGCGGGACAGCTGACTGGAGGTCAGTGCTGGTCTTGATGGGGTTCGGGGTGAGGGGACCGGGTAAGGACCAACAGCTGGAGGACGGAGGCCCTGGCTCTGAGCGGGCACAGAGCAGCGGCAGGGAAGGTGGGTCAGCGCTGGGGGGGAGGAGCCTCGGAAAACACAGAGCAGGTGTGAGGCTGTCGCGTCGGAGAGCGGGGGGCATTCCGGAGTGAGAGGAGGCGACCCAGGCAGGGCAGAGGATGGCGTCATAGGGCCACAGGCTGCCGAGGACATGAGTAGGGTGGCCTCGGTCTGGCTGCTCCCTTGGTCAATCAGGGGCGAGGGCAGGGGGCACGGTCAGGGAGGGGCATGCGTGTGCAGAGGACCCAGTGGCCAGGGAGCCTCAGAGAGGACCTCGGCCTAGGCTTGAGCGCAGCTTTCCTGAAGCGAGGAACGGCCCCTGGGCCGGGACCTGCACTGCTGGAGGGGGGCTGGGGTCTGCACCCGGTCTGTCGGGGGTCGGTGCACAGGCGGCCACCTGGTGCTCTTTCAAAGTGGGTGGTTTGTGGGTGGCTCTGCGGGGGCCCATGGGGGCCACAGGGCAGAGGACAGTGTGCATGGGGGACGGTTCAGGGACGTGGTTTTGCTCCTGGGGACAAGGAGGCAGGCCCAGAAAAAAGCCTGAAAAGAGCGGGTCCAGGAGGTGGGGAGGCAGGACAGGAGGGAGTGAAGGAGCGAGGAGACTCTGCCGAGGGACAAATGTGCCCTGTCGCCCTCTGCTCCGGCTGCCGGCCCCAGCCCAGGGTGTGTGTGGGGGCGGAGGCGTGGGAAGGAGAAGGTTCAGCAGGTGAGAGGAAGCTGTGGGTCTCCGGGGTGCCGGAGGGAGTGAGCAGGGTCAGGGGGAGCCAGTGAAGGGCCAACATGGGGCCCCACAGTGCCCAGCAGAGGTGCGGCAGGCGCGGAGCGGGGCGCCAGGCAGCCCCCAGGGTGGAGGGTGGCTCAGTGGTGACTCCCTCTGTCCAGCGGTCACCGAGGCCCTGCGGGCCCCAGGCAAGATTCCCGGCTGCAGTGGGACTCGGAACCTGCACGACAACCTGTCAGACCTCCGTGCCCAGGTGGCAGCCAACCAGAAGGGCATCCAGCTGGTGGGGGAGCTCATCGGGCAGTACGGTCTGGATGTGGTGCAGGCCTACATGGGCCATATTCAGGTGGGCCCGGGAGCAAGAGCCAGAGGGCAGCTCTGCGCCAGCCCCCAGGCAGCGGGGCAGGGAGGGAGGGTGGCACCTGCTCCCCCCCCCAGGAGGTGGTATGGCTGCCTCTGAACATGATCCCTACCAGGCAAACGCTGAGCTGGCTGTTCGGGACATGCTTCGGGCCTTTGGGACCTCCCGGCAGGCCCGGGGCCTGCCTCTGGAGGTGTCTGCGGAGGACCACATGGATGACGGTTCCCCCATCCGACTCCGCGTGCTTATCAACCTGAGTCAGGTCTGGCTGCGGGGAACCGGGGTGGCCGGAGGAGGCGGATGGAGCGTCTGGGGTGTGGTTGCCTTACTGCTGCTGACCTCCCCTCTGCGTGGGCAGGGCAGTGCCGTGTTTGACTTCAGCGGCACTGGGCCGGAGGTGTTTGGCAACCTAAACGCACCGCGGGCCATCACGCTGTCTTCCCTCATCTACTGCCTGCGCTGCCTGGTGGGCCGTGACATCCCGCTCAACCAGGTGTGCAGACATGTCCTGTGTGTGCAAGGTCAGCAGGTCCACCCCAAGCCCCAGGTCACCCTCAGGTGAGCCTGGGGCGAAGTCAGCCCAGCAGCCCAATAACGGACTGATGATCCTAGAGGTGCTGGTAGTGGGTGGACGTATCTCCCAATTGCCCCTGAGAGCTGGCCCCTCCCTGCTCAGGGCTGCCTGGCGCCAGTTCGAGTCGTGATTCCTAAAGGCTCCATCCTGGACCCGTCCTCAGAGGCGGCCGTGGTGGGCGGCAACGTGCTCACGTCGCAGCGCGTGGTGGACGTCATCCTGGGGGCCTTCGGGGCCTGCGCAGCCTCCCAGGTACGGCAGGCGGGAGGGCGCCGCTCGGAATTGCTGGGGATGGGGCAAGGGGAGGGCCGCGGGCTGCGGCGCTCAGGGAGCGGTTGCCGCCCGGCCCGCAGCGATCGCTTGTCCCCACCAGGGTTGCATGAATAACGTGACCCTCGGCAACGCCCATATGGGCTACTACGAGACAGTGGCGGGCGGCGCGGGCGCGGGTCCCGGCTGGCACGGGCGCAGCGGCGTGCACAGCCACATGACCAACACGCGCATCACCGACCCCGAGATCCTAGAGAGCAGGTGCGTGATGGGGGCGGGGCTGGGGGGGCGGACGCCCGGGGGCGGAGCCGGGGCCGCCGTGCGGAGCCATTGGCCTGCGCAGGTATCCCGTCATCCTTCGTCGCTTCGAGCTGAGGCAGGGGTCCGGGGGCCGCGGCCGCTTCCGGGGCGGCGATGGTGTCATCCGTGAGCTGCTCTTCCGCGAGGAGGCGCTGCTGTCCGTACTGACCGAACGCCGCGCGTTCCGGCCCTACGGCCTCCACGGTGAGCGCCTCCCTCGACCCCCATCCCAGCCCAGCGCCTCTCCCTCATCCCAGCCCAGCGCGGTTCCCCTCCATCTTCTTCCTCCCGCCGGGTCTCCCCTGTCTCCTTAGCAAGCCCTCCTATGCCTCTCTCTTCTTGCCTTCTGGGCCACCCCACACCTCGCCTTTTACTGCAGGGGGTGAGCCTGGTGCACGTGGCCTAAACCTACTGATCCGCAAGGACGGCCGGACGGTGAATCTGGGCGGGAAGACATCGGTCACCGTGTACCCTGGGGTAAGGATCGCCATCTGTCCCGTCCCATCTCCATCCCCACAGCGGCTCTCATCCCAAAGAAGGTGAACGGAGTTGCAAAAATAACCACTCAGTTTAATTTGGCTCCTTAAGGAAAGGGGGCAGCAGACCAGGCTCCACGGCTCTGGCTGGTTCTGTGGATGCGGTGCTGTGGGGATGGCGCTGCAGGGGGAGGTAGGTGGGGGCTGTGCCTGTGCCGACCCTGGTCCTCTGCTCCACAGGACGTGTTCTGCCTCCACACACCAGGTGGCGGGGGCTACGGGGACCCCGAGGACCCCGCCTCGCCTCCCACGCTGCCCCCGCAGCCCCCAGCCTTCACTGAGCGCGGCAGCGTCTACGAGTACCGCAGGGCCCAGGAGGCTGTGTGAGGGCGGGCCCACACAATAAAGACCCGTTCAGTTGCCCTGCTCCTGCTGCGACTTGCCAGGCTCACACTTCGCCTCCTTGCCCTTCTTTCCACCGGTCTCATAGCTGTCGCCTGTGCGCCTGCCTCACGAGGCCATGGAAACTCGGAGCCGAAGTCCCACGGCCAGGTGGTCGGTGAGCCCTGCTAGGGCGGTGCTGAATGTCACCTGTTCTACTTCCTGGGGGGTGGGAGGTGGGTTAAGGGGGTTGTCCCAGCACCAGCCTGCCCAGCGCCCTGCGCGTTGGCACTTACTGGACTGAGCAGGCCTCCTGGCTCTCCACGGTAGGTGATGTAGTCCAGGCGCCGGCCCCGCCAGGGCTTAGCCCGGGGGCCTCCGTGGGGAAGGCCTGCCAGGTAGTGGTGGCGCCCTTCCTCCTGCTCCAGGGCCCTGAGGAGGGGTGGTGTGGTCAAGGCCAGGGCACCCCTCCCTTTTGGGCGGTGCCCGGCCCCGCAGGTGGCCGCTCACCTCCGCAGCATCTCCGGGGAGCAGGCCACTGAGTGGTGGAGCCTGGAAGTGCTCAATACTGTTCCTGAGGGAGGGCGGGGATGCACTCTGTTAGCAGGAGTTCGGCAATTGAGCCCTCCCAGGGTCCTCCCCCAGCCTGGGTGCCGTACCCAGGGCCCACGGCTGGTCCTGGCGCGTGCCCAGACGGCAAGGGTCGCGGAAGCAGCTGAAAAGCTGGTGCTCCTGCTCCAGTGCGTCGTCTGCAGGAAAGGCCAGTGCTAGGTGGGCAAGGCCAGGCCGCCTCCCCGCTCCGCCCCACCTCGCTGCAGCCTCCTCTCACGTAGGGAGCAGTTGTCAAAGTTCAGGTCACCCAGGAGCACGCTGAAGGCCACAATTTCGTCACTGTGGTTGCTTTCAACCTCAAACTGCTCAGCCCAGTCCAGCAGCGCCGTTAGCTGCTTGCAGCGCAGGGGGCCATCCTCTGTGGGATTGGGGGTGGGGGCGGGGGCAGAAAACTCAGCCCCGATGTCATTTCAAATCCGGGACACAGCTGAACCCTCCCATCACTCACCCTTCCCCGGTAATCTGAGCCCACCCAGACACGCAGGGACACGAGGTGTAAGGGGCAGTGAAAAAAAGGTGGGAGGCAGGCGGTGGGGGGTGGGGTCCGCTGCTCGGTCTGCACACGTGCCCCCGACCCCCGGGCTCACCACTCGGCGCATGCAAGTGCGTGCAGTGCAGGAAGCCCACGACGCGGCGCCCGTCCAGGATGCCCACTTGCGCCTGCAACACCACAGACAGCCCCAGCAACCCTCGCCCGTTTGCCCGCACGCCCCGCCTCCTCCCCGGCCGGGGAGCGCCGCCGCCAGTGGGCGGTTACCTGTGCAGAAAGAAGTCCCTTAGAGGCCAGCGCGTCCTCGCGACGAGCGTCGGGGAAGGACCGGAAGGCAGCGCGCAGCAGCGGGTAGCGGGATGCCAGCAACAGCCCACTGCCCAGCAGCTTGAGGTGCGGCCCGGGCTGCAGGCCGAACGTACCCACGTCGTATAGCACTGGGCCCAGATTGGGCGCCAAGCGCCTCACCACGCGGCGCGCCGCGCGCAGGTCGAACACCTCCTGCAGGCACACGAAGTCCAGACCCGCCGGCACCGTGGCTATCAGCACCCCGCCGGGCGCCCCAGTCCCTGGCGAACTGCAGCCCATAGCCCCATAGCGCAAGGGCCGCAGGCCGGCGAGCAGCACGGCGCCCACCGCTTCGGCTCGCCGCTGGGTGTGCGGCAAGTTGCTGAAGTGCGCCAGCCCGTCGGGGAGCAGGCACACGTTGGCGCTGAGAAAGCTGAAGCAGCGCGCGGGCTCAGCTGGGGGGCGCCAGGGCGCGGGGGGCGCCCAGCCCTGCGGAGGGGCCTGGTAGCAGAAGGGGCGGCGCCAGGCCTGCAGCGGCAGCCAGAGCAGCAGGCCCGGCAAAGCCAGAGGCAGGCCGACGAGCACGAGCAGCAGGAACGCCCCCCCGGCTCCCAAGGAGACGCTCAGCCACTGTAGGCAGCTCGGGCGCGCCAGCGGCGCCCAGCAACCCAGCAGCTGGTCCAGGGCCCAGTAGGCCGGGAAGAGCAGCGCGCGGGCCAGGCCGTGGAGGGCATGCAGCACAGGGTTCGGGAAGGGCGAGGGCGTGAAGGCGCCAGGCACCGGGGGCCAGTCCGGCGGAGGTTGCATGGTGCGCGGGGCTCTTCTGCCGCGGGGCACCCCCACGACTCATTCGCTTCCACCGTCCGAGTTGACTTGGTGCGTCCGCTGTAGCTGGTGGGGAGCCACAGGGGTAAAAGCCAGGTGGCACAATCTATGCGCTGACCCGGGAAGGTGCCCGTGAGCCTGGGGGCGCGGGCGCAGGCGGAGATATATGCCCAGGAAACCGCCCTCTCACCCGCGCGAAATCTTGTCGGCGGTTGAGAACAAAAAGGAAAGCGGAAGGCACCCTGGCCTCGCAGTCCCGCCCCAGATCCTCCTCGCCCCGCCCCGCCCCCTCCCCAAGGCCGCACAGGGAACCCCTAGCCCGCCTGACGGGAGTGGGGTCTGGGGTGCAGCCCGCGCAAAGCGGAGGGGGATCTTTTATAGTGCGGGCGGGCGCAGTGAGGGACATTCGGTGAGCGTTGCGTCCCGCTCCCCCCGGCCGCCTGCACGTCCGCGTGGACTTGCCCTGGCGGCCGTGCTGCCAGACTTCAGGACATGCCCCACCCCCACTGCCTCCCCAGAGGCGCGATGTCCATCCCTTGAGTTAAAAGACATGTGCTCAGATGAGGCACGGTCTTCCTACAGTAGTGGCAGCTCTGTGACCCCACCCCAAGGAGCTTCCAGTCTAAGGGAAAGGGACTGTTGTCTCCACCCTCGTGGCCCCTCCCCTCGGGGGCGCGAGCCAGGTGGAAGCCACCGCCGTTTCTGCACTCGGCTGGTTGCCAGGATGAGCTGCCTCCCGCTCCCTCCTGCATTGCCCGCCCCCCACCTTTCTAACTGGAGCTTGGAGCCAGCCCCTACGGTTTCCAGGCGGTTCCTATATTGCCTTTCTCTGGGCCTGGCAGGGAGGGAGGCGGTGAGCTTCTGCCCTCCCCAGTGTCCCCCCTCCCGCCTCAATTTCCCAAGGAATTTTGATCCCTTTTAGAAATTAAGGGCTGGGGCTGGGTGTGGTGATGGCTGCTTCGCTAGAGCCACAGGCCTCCAAGCCTCTCCCCGGCCCAGGGGTGTGCCTGGGCCCCCTGAGTAGCAGGCTTGCGAGGGGGGAGGGCTGAACAGCAGGGCCGCCCCCACCCCCTCTCCTGTCCTGTACTCCGCACTGGCGGCTGGCGATTCCTCTTTAAACCCAGATGCTGGGTCTTCCCCCTCACCTCCTGCCGGCCCTCAGGCACCCAAGGGCTTCCCCTCCTGTGCCCCTGTCCTCAGGTGTGTCCTCACAGGGACGATGACCCTAGCCTACGCCCCTTAGCTCCTGCACCATCCACAAGCCCTTCCCGCTCAGAATCTACGGGTTACCTCCCGGTGTCTCCTACTGGCCCCCCTCCACTTCTCCCCAGCTTTGTTCTGCTTTCCCAGCCTGCTTGTGCTCCTAGGCTCCACCCCTGCAGCAGGTGGGGTGTGGCCTTTGCACCCTGTGGGGCCGCCTCTGCTTCCTGGGCCACTGATGTCTTGGGAAGGGGCCCCATCCGCCTGGGCTGCTCCTTGCCCAGGTCTCAGTGAACTTGGTTCCCCTGTCTCTAAAGTCCGCCTGCCCCCAGTGAGGGTCCAGAATCCCCACTTCATCCAGGCCTCGCCCAAAGGAAGGAACTCTCACCCCGCATGCTTGTCTCGCGCACCCAGCCTGCCCTGTGTTTGCACTCAGACCTCAGCTCTGTGCCTGGCGCCAGCGTCAGCAGCCCACCTCCGCAAGCCCAGCTCCTTCCCGCTTCTTGCTCTTTCCCTTGAAGCCTCGGGGGCTCTCACGGCTCCCGCTGCCAGGCGAAGGGAGTCTTGAGGCCTTGGGAACACCCCATTGGCCAGACAGCTGGCCCAGGGCAGGCAGGACTGACGGGGCACAGGGGAGAGGGCACTGGGAACCACCCAAGGAGGCAGCAAGGCAGAAGCGCAGGCGGGCCCAGCAGCCAGCATCTGCGGGGAGCTTTACTGTCCGTGCACCAAGGAGTGGGGCAGAGCGGGGCCAGGCTGGCAGGGCCGGCGTCGTGGGTCACCAGATGAACATGGGCTTGCCGTCCTCGTGCGCCAGCTGGCTGAGGCAGGAGAGCAGGAGCAGCGCGTCGCTGAGCATGCTCGGGTGCACGGTCTCCACCAGCACGCGCTGCAGGAACTCCACGGTGAAGGAGCCGCCCTCCGACACAGCCAGCTCGGGCCGCTCACGCAGGATGCCGTAGGCATTCACCAGCTGCTCCGTCAGCGCCGGGTGCACCCGCCCGTTGTAGCCCAGACTCTGCAGCCGGTTCATGATGCTCACGTAGCGCTGCGTGAGCGTCTGGCACAGCTCCTCATCCAGCTTGTGGTTGCTGGGGTTCAGAGAGGCCTGAGGGAAGAGGGAAGGCACCCGTGCAGGTGAGGGGTAGAGGTTCCGGAAGCCTCCGTCCCCTGTTCCACAACCACCAGGGATTAGCGACTGAGCTGAGGCTGAGAGGAACGGAAGACAGAATATCGCTGGGAGAATGGACAAGGAGGAAGGAGCTCCTAAGGCCCCCAGGGTTGCCTGACCCAGGAGACACCACCAGGGGGCTCTCCCAGGCCTGCCGGCTCCCTGCCCGGCCTCCCCAGGCCTCCTCACTAGGCCCATCCTCCGCACACACCCTGCTGGAGTCCCCTCCACCCCACGCACCCCTCCCAGAGCCAAACTCGCCCTCTCAGCCCTGGGGCTGCTGCTGCTGCTCCTCGGGCGCCCGCTCCCAGTGCTGGGACCCGGGGACGGCAGTGGCTGGGTTGTCTCCACCTACTTCTCCATCACCTGCGCCCCCCTCGCCAGGCAGTGACTGTGTCCTTCCTATGAACTCAGTCCTTTCTCTCCACCCCTCCTGCTATGGCCTCCTGGACATGTGACCGGGGCAGTCACACGGAACACCAGGCTCAGAAGGGCCCTGCACTCAACTTAATGCCCTGCTGTAACCCTCTATTTTCCTTCTTTTTTCTTTTTTAAAAAAAGATTGTATTTATTTATTTTAGAGAGATGGGAAGGAAGGGAGAAAGAGAGGGAGAGAAACGTCAATGTGTGTGAGATACATCGATTGGTTGCTTGCCCCCAGCTGGGACCTGGCCCGCACCCCAGGCCTGCGCCCTGACCAGGAGTCGAACTGGTGACATTTTGGTTTGCAGGCTGGCGCTCAGTCCACCGGGCCACACCAGCCAGGGTGCCCTGTATTTTCATTTGCACTGGGTTCTGCAAACTGCGTCTTGTTGCAGGCACGGCGGCCCCCAGGCCTGCAGAACTATGGGTCTGAAGCGGTCGTCGGATGCGGCGTCTCCCTGCCCGAGCCCTCCGGTGGTTCCCACAGCTCCAGCTCTCGGGCCCCGGCAGTCCGGCACGGTTCTGCTCTGGTCCCGCTCGCCCCCTTCCAGCCATTCCCTAGATGCCTGCCAAGCTGCTTCCTAACCTGATGTGAACACCCAGACAAGCTGCTTAGGCATCACGTCCTCCAGGAAGACCACCCTGACCTACCCTCCCCAGAGGGTCATGTGAGCAGAGCACTGGGCTCATGGCTGGGCTCGGCTGAAGCAACCCTTGACCCCCGGCGGGTGCACCCAGAGCTCCTTGCTCAGCTGCTCACCTCCAGCTCAGCACCAGGACAGGCCTGTCTCCCCAACTCTAGCCTCCCCTTGGCCCCTGGGTCTTCTCACTCCGATTGCCTGTTCCCAGGCCCCAGAGGGAAGAACTGCAGGACCTTGGCCAACACAGGAGGGCAAACAAGCGCATCTGTTGTACCAGGATGGCACAGAGCACTGTGGGTGGACAGCCTTAAGCTTGGCCCACACAGGGACGAGACCCATGGCCTGCTCAGCGGGGGCCGGGGCTGAGTCCTGCTGGGCCAGGCCTGGTGCACAGACCTCAAGACACGACCAGAGTTCAGCAGGGGGCAGACGGTGCCCGCCCTGTCGGGTTGCTGGCCCCAGGAGAGCAGTGTGGGCTGAGACAGGCCAGGCTGCCCTGAGGAAGTACCCTCTTGAGAGTGGAGTGAGGAGCTGGTGGGGCAGAGCAGGACAAGCCCCTGGGCACGGCCCCCACCCAGGTCCTGGGAAACGGACAGAGCAGAGGCACGACCGGGGAGGGCCCTGGCCTGAAGGGGCAGGAACTCGTGGTGGAGTTTGTGGTTTTAAGCAATCGAGCTGGCCACTGTGGGGGACCGACAGAATCCGGTAATGGCGCGGGCGGGGGCGGGGCGGTGGTGGCGGCGGGGGCTGTGTGCATCCCTCCTGCAGACACTCTCCGAGGCAGGCGGGAGCTGCGGCAGAGGTGCCGGGCCGCCTGCGGCGGCTCTAAGGCCGCTGGGTTTTCCCTCCGCCCGGGCCCGGTCTCACCAGCCACTCTGGCTGGTGTTCCTGTCGTACCAGTTGTTAAATAATCTGCCTACCTCCCTGCCCTAAATGCATTATTTATTTACAAACAAAAGAGACGTGAAATGAAACGACTGAAGTGCTCAACCCCAGAAAGAAAAAGCATATCTAAAGGCAGCAGAAGGAAGTACTAGAGCATAAACGAGGAAACGGAATCCAAAGGATCACTAGAGAGGATCCTGCGGACAACACAGGGCAAAGTGCACACAGTCCGCGGCGGACGACGGGCGACCCTGCCTTGCCCTCGGTAAGGAGGCTCCCAGCCCAGCCCAGCCCGAGCGGCCGCCGAGCCGCCGCAAGTCCTGACGTCACTGCATTCGAGCCAATGGAGTGACACTAGGACTGTGAGCTCGCCCCCGAGTCCAGCTCCGCCCCCTGGGCCCGTTCGCGGACCTCCCACATCCCGAAGCGGGTCCCCGGGTGGGGAGCAGGGCCCAGCAACCCTGGCTTAACGAAGCCTTTGCATTTATATCACCGTAGCTTGGCCGAGGCCTCTGAAAAAGCAGCGAAGCTGGAAGTCATAAGTAACAGTGAACGGAATCCCAGTGCGAGAAAAACCGCCAGGGATGGAGGCGGATCATGATCAGAACATCCGCTCTAGCGTCTCAATAAGTGCTGAGAAAAAGGGGAGGGGGAAAGTCATGTGATCGTCTCATCAGCGACAGAAAAACATTCGAAAAAACTCAGTATTTGTTCCTGATTAAGAAAAAAGCCAAAAATTCTCAACAAATCAGGAAGAGGGACAATTTCTTAATCTGGCGTGGCAGATACTGAACCTGGCTCATCTGGATTCTGTTCTAGTGCCTTCCTGAACTCTGAGAGGCTGGAAGCTAAAAGCCACCTTTTTCAGACTCTCTGTGACCTGATTTCTGCAGTGGCGTGTCAACTAGGAAAGTCCCTGGTGTGCCGGCACTTTTACTGGATGTATAGCAAAAAAAAAAAAAAACAACCCCAATTTTGTATCCTTTCTGGAGCTTCTAGGACCATGCAAACATTTACAACAAACCCCTTTCTGCTCCCATCAGCCGGAGCGGACTCTGTTATCTGCAACGGAGAGCTGAGGAATCTGGCAAGAAGCCTGGAGCACACACCGCACTTCACGGGAAGACTGGAAGCGTGTGTCCCTAGTCAAGTCAGAAACGGGATGAGACTGCCATATTGTGTGCTTCTCTTAAATGCCATACAATATGATGCCTATGTAGAAAAGCCAAGATGATGATATGCAAACTATGGAAACCAGTAAGCGGGTTTGGCAAGGTAACTGGAAAACAAATCATAATAACACAGAAATCAGAAACATTCTCGACAGGCCGGCGAGTGGGACCGTGGGGCGCTCCGGGGGGCCCATGGAGCCCGCTGGACACAGGCACAAGGCGCCACCTCTGGAAAGCCTCACCGACGCAGCTGGACTCGGGGCCTCAGAGGAGCAGGGTGGCGAAAGGGAGGAGTCAGAGCGCCCCCCACAGAGCAGAAGGTCATTGCAATTGGGTGGAAGAGGTGACAGGCATGAGCACTGGGACAACGTTTAGCTGGGCTTAAAAGGTGGCATAATTGCCTGCAAACTTATACTAAAAGACACCGAGGTTCAATGATAAAAGTCAGTGAGTCCCGGGTGCGGGAGGGAGAAGAGGGTATGGGGGACAAATGGTGACGGAAGGAGACCTGACTTGGGGTGGTGGACACACAATACAATATGCAGATGATAGACTGTAGAATTGTACACTTGGAGCCTACATGATTTTATTAACCAACGCCACCCTAAGAAATTCAGTTAAAAAGAAAAAGAAAAAAGAGTGAAGTAAAAACCAAACAAACTCAGTGTGTCCTCAGTGCAAAGAGGACTCTATGAAAGCTTGCGGCACTCGTGAAGCCCGCAGCCCCAGCGCGGGCAGGACCAGGCTTGGCCAAGCTCAGCGAGTCTGCATGTGATTTAAAGACGCTAGCAGTCATGAGCATTGGAGTTCAACGTGCAGAGAAACACACAGGATGCTCTGCTGAAGGGAGAGAAAAGGCGGGCAAAGTGGAATTGGAGGGAGATGGGAACCGACAAACGGTCCAGCCAAGCAGGTAGAGCAGCCTTGAGACCAGGATGCATGTTTGTGATCCTCAGATGCCACCCTGCAGTGGGCCCTGTGGAAGGCTAGCCTGGGGGTGTCCGCCCAGGTTCCGAAGGCAGCTTCTGTGCACGTGGGCTCCAGCAGAGCCGCCTTGAGGAGCTCAGGCACAAGGATGTATCCTGGCAGCGCCTGTCATTGCTGATGGAAGGTGAAGGAGGCCAGTGGCTCTGGAACTGGTCATGGTCAGCAGTCACCGGGTGGAATGACCAGACACGAGTTGTGGTAAACGCCACATTTCCCCCAGGAGTCGCCAGCACGGTGGCGGAGGCACAGGCTCGCGGGCACTGAGCTCCTTCACATCCTCAGACTCCAAGAGAAAAAACACAGCCTTACATACATTCTGCTCTCCTTTTCCTGCTCTTGTCTAAAGAATTGCCACTTAGTGCCATCACTTACATCCTGCAGCGTAAGCGCAGTTCACAGAGGAGCCCGGCAACACGGCATTGGCACAGCCACGCCCCCCACTGGAGGGCCACGCGCTTTTATCTTCTTCCATTTAATCAGGCATTTTCAAGCAACAGGAAATCTCTTTACACAGAGATGTTGGTACCTACTATGTGGACAACTAGATTGTGCTTATAAATAAATGTGTCTTTGCAACTAGACATCACATGCAGCATTTTAGAGACACACATGTTGTGCTTCTATCACATCAGTTGCTGACTTTTAAGCAGCCGTGGCCCTCGTGAACCAGCAGTGGCTTCTGGGGTCCCGGACAAGAGTCAAGGGTGGTCAAACCAAACAGGACCATTGCGGCCCTGAGACACGAGCAGCAGAAACAATGGGGGTGTGGGAATAATCCACAGGGTAAAGATGTGCAAACCCCCCTTTTCATCCATAAATCAATGCAAAGTTAGCTCTGGGAACGTGGAGGACTCATCCGAGATTCCATATTGAAGAATGAAGGGCCAGGAGGAGCCGAGACAAAGCAGAAGAAGAGAGATGCCCTGGCTGTGTCGCCCTCCCGGGAGGAGGACGGCCGGGGCCCCGGGATGTCCCCGACCCCCGCACAGGACGGGAAGAAGAGGCTGGCAGCTCCCCTTCGCCTTCGCCCCCCAGGCTTAAGCCAGGCATGGAACATACAAGCAATAGAGGAAGAGGTGGGTGATTCTGACCACGTTACAATGAAAGCCCAAAGGCACCTTCACAAAAAGAGAAGACGCGCTCAGACCTGGGTGTGCATGAACCCCCTGCAACCGAAGCCGTTCCTGCCCAGCCACACACCCCGGTCTCTCGGCACAGACAGGCGGCCTGGAGGGCGTGGCCAGGAGCATCGCGGGCTCTTTCCCAAGGGGAGCCCACCTGCAGGACCCCCTCCAGGCTGGGGAGGGCCCCTGGGAGGCCACTGCAGCGGCACAGGGGACAGTACAGGCCTGACTGTGCCCGGACCCGCCCTCCCCTGGCTGGGACCACAGGCCCTGTGGTTAGATGCCCTGGACACTGCTGGCCACTGGGACTGAGCACGGTGCTTCCTCCATCCCGGGGTGCACTTGGATTCCACCGTGCTCGCCTGGCTGGGTCGCTGGGACCCCAGCCACCCCCAGGGTCCAGCACACTCCCCGTTCCTGCCAGCTGCCCAGGCAGGCCCTTTGGTTGTGCGTCGGGGACGGGCATCACATACCTGGATGATCTTCTCAGGAATGTTTGAGACCGTGAAGCCGTAGAGGCGCACGCGCTCGGGGAAGATGCTGGAGAGGATCCTGCGGTCCAGCTGGAAGGCGATCTCCCCCACCAGCCTCTCCCAGGCCAGCTGCTTTGGCTCTGGGGACAGCAAGAGGAGGGTGTGGGCAGTAGCTGAGCGACCCTAGCAGGTGACCTGGGGGTCTCTGAGGGCGGCAGGTGCCCCCGGACCGGAGTGAGCCCCACTGTGGCACTGACCTCGGGGGCTGTCAGGGAACTTGTTGCTCTTGCGGTGGGCCAGCTTCCGCTCCAAGTCCTGGACGCTTTTCCGACACGTTTCCAGGATACGCGGGCCTCGCGTGTCATTGACAGACGCCGGGGAGGATGAGGTGCGGGGTGGGGAGTGGGGGTTGCGTGGAGGGGAGTGGGGGGTGGGGGAGGGCCGGGGGGGGGAGTTGTGCGCTCGGGTGGGGGCGTGGGCGGTGTTCTCGGGGCTGTAGTTGGTGGCAGCTTGGGGGGCAGGGGCAGGGGCAGAAGGGAGGACTGAGATGGTGGGGGAAGCGGTTGGGGCAGTGGGGACAGGGGCAGGAGCCGCGTGTCCCTGGGAAGTACCCGGCTGAGCTCGGGCACCCGAGGTGCCGTAGGAGAAGGCTGTCACGGAGCCAGGCTTGCCCACGGCGCTGACGGGGGTGGAGGTGTGGATGGGCCCACCCACGAACGTCACGCTGAGGGGCTCGGGGTCCTGGGTCAGCAGGGGATGCTCAGTGGAGAGTGGGACTGGTGACAAGGTGGGGCAGAAAGGAGGGGAGGAGGATAAGGGCAAGGCAGGACCAGGGACTGGCCTGGCACAGGCCCCTCCCCCGCACCAGTTACCTTTGGAGGTGGCAGCAGGCCCCGCGCCAGCGGAGGGATGGGGTCCAGAGGGGCATCCGCGGAGAGGCTCTGGCAGCCGCACCCTTGGGGCCTCCTGCAGCACCACATTGCCCATGGGGTTGGCCAGAAGGTTCTGAGAAACAACTGGAGGGGCAGCCGTGGAGGTGTGCAGGGGGCTGCTCAGAGACATGGCTACAGGGCCGGCCAAGGGGCCGCTTGGAGTCAGGGGGCCGGTGGAAGGAAGGCCCATGGAGCTGGCCAATGTGCCCGCTGGACACGCAGCCACGGGGCCGGCCAAGGGGCCGCTTGGAGTCAGGGGGCCGGTGGAAGGAAGGCCCATGGAGCTGGCCAATGTGCCCGCTGGGCACGCAGCCACGGGGCCGGCCAAGGGGCCGCTTGGAGTCAGGGGGCCGGTGGAAGGAAGGCCCATGGAGCTGGCCAATGTGCCCGCTGGGCACGCAGCCACGGGGCCGGCCAAGGGGCCGCTTGGAGTCAGGGGGCCGGTGGAAGGAAGGCCCATGGAGCTGGCCAATGTGCCCGCTGGGGACGCTGCCATGAGGCCAGTTAGTTGGCCGCTTGGAGTCAGGGGGCCGGTCGAGGGCAGGCCCATGGAGCTGACCAGTGAGCCCATGGTGGGCGTCGCCACGGGGCTGGCTAGGTGGCCGTTCAGGGGGCCGGCCAGGAGGCTGGCGAGCGTGCTGTTCTGTGAGATGGGCCCCGGGGAGGGCAGCAGCATGCTGAGAGAGCCCGTCATGGGGCTCACGATGGGGCCTGTTGAGGGGCTGAGCTGCGGGCTGTTTAGCATGTCGGCCAGGGGTGCCAGAGACATAATCCCCCCTTCTTCCAGGGCAGGTTCATTTGCTGCAGCCGGGGACGCGGGCAGGAAGACACCTGGGGGACACAGAGAAAGCACTGAGACCCCCGATGGGCCCCTGGGGGAGAGAGCTCTGTCCCCTCTGTGGCAGGGCCTGGGCCAAGGTGCCCATCTGCCTCTGATGAGCTGCCCAGCCTCCCAGAGCCTTCCTTCCTCGATGGGTCCCAGGCCAGGAGCTGGCCCCTCTGAGGGAGCCTCGTTCCTCCCAGGCTCACCTCTCTAAACACCGGCCCGCCCGGATCTTCCACGGCTGCCCACCCTCAAATGTGCTCGCCGCACCGAACTGCTGGCCCCTTGCTGAGGAGAGGAGAGTCTCCTGGCGGCTGGGCTCACAGGTGGCCAAGGCGAACCCTCCATTCCCGGGAGGAGTGGGCCCCAGCCTCCTGACCTCTGTTCTTGCAGGGACAGCCACGCCTCGCCATGTGGGGGACCCTGAGGGAGGCCAGAGCTGGGATGGGGGTGACGCTTGGTGGGGTGCCAAAGGTGTGCCCAGCCCCAGCCCACCTGTGAACAGTGCACGCAGGCACAGGAGCTAGAACTATACAATGATTAGAAGAAGACGTGGCAGTAAGTCCCCATGCCTTTGGGTTAGGCAATGGGTTCTTAGCTATGCCACCGAAAGCAGGGGCAACAATAGATACGTTGTATTTAGTAAAACTTAAAGGCTTCTCAGTTTCAAAGGACGCTGTCAAGAAAGTGAGAAGACAACCCACAGAATGGGAGAAAATATTGGCAAGTCATGCATTTGATAAGGGACTTGTATCCAGAAAATATAAAGAACTCTTACAGCTCAATAATAAAAAGACAAATAGCCCAATTTAAAACTCAGCAAAGGATCTGAACAGACATTCCTCAGAGATGATATACAAATGGCCAGTGAGCACATGAAAAGATGCACAGCATCATTAGTCATCAGAGAATTGCAAATTAAAACAACAATGAGAGACTAGTTCACACCCTCTAGAATGTTTATAATTAAAAAGTCAGATAATAAGTGCTGGCGAGAATGCAGAGAAATTGGAACGCTCACACATTGCTGGTGGGAAAGTAAAGTAGGGCAGCCACTTTGAAAAAACAATTTGGCAGCTTCTCAAACAGTTAAACATAGTTACCATGTGACCCAGCAATTCCACTCCTAGATATCAACCCAGGAGATAAGAAAACACATTTACGCAAAAAGTTGTACATGGATGTTTATAGTAGCGTTATTCATAATGGCCAGAAGGCGGAAACAAAAGTCCATCAAATGAATAATGGACAAACAACATGTGTTGTGTCCATTAGTGGCATAATCCTCATCCATAAAAAACCCTAATGCCACCTAGAAATACTGATTCATGTTACAACACAGATAAACCTTGAAAACATTGCGCTAAATGAAAGAAGCCAGTCACAAAACCACATTTACAAGTGCATTTACATTTACATGAACTGTCCAGAATAGACAAAGTCACAGAAACAGAAAGTAAATTAGTGGTTGCTTGCGTTTCTTTTGGGGGTTGATGAAAGTGTTCTAAAATCACTGTAAGGTTTGTACATATCTGCGAATATATGAAAAACTATAGAATCATACACTCTAAATGGGTGAATTGTATGGCACATGAATTATATCAATAAAGTTGTTATATAAAAAGGGATTCATTGGGGTCAAGGCATTTGGGGTGCAGGAAGGACATAGTCATGGTTCAGGGGCCAATTAAGTGCATGCGTGGGTGGCACTGCAGGCGGTCCGATGCTCAGGGCCAAGACTGCGCTGGCCTCGGTCACAGACACAGAGTCTATAGGATTTGTGACCCGCCTGAGTCACTGGTGAGAATCTCAAGAGCAGCCGTCCTGGAATCTCTGGCTGGGACAGGAGTTCGGGGAGCACGGAACCCCAGGTGTGAGCAGGAGTGTTCGGAGCTAACAGGGGCCAGGGGCTAAGCCTGTGTTTAGGAGGTTCCGGTCCCATAGCGTTGTACTCCATTGCTTAAGGTATCAGTGACTGTTTTAACCTTTTTGTAATTTGTATTTAATTGATTTAGATTTGTGAGTTGAAATCTTCCTGGGTCTTAGTACGGTATCAGAAACTTGGAGATAACCTTAGATTTGCTGCATTTATATGTTTCTTTCATACGCATGAATTATTTAGGGTGCAAGAATGTTTGTTATCTCCCACAATTGAAGTTAAAAAGAAAAGCAAATGCTTTAGATTTGCAAGTGTAGTTTCCAGTGTTTTCAACTGTTCAGCTGAACTGATTCACTCCCCCACGTGCTCCTAGCTGGCGCGGACCGTCCTCTCCCCGGGGCCGAGGCCGGAGCGTCCCTCGGGTCACCCCACCCTCACTTCGCAGGTCGGGACCACGCTCTCACGCCGTCCTGGCTTCCGCCACTCCACCTCCCCCGCCGTGGGCTACAGCCGCCTTCGCCGTGGTCCCTCCGGGTCTGCCCACCTCCCGCGGTCCTTCTGGCCTCGGATCCCTCAGTCCGGCGCGCGTACGTCGGACCCTGTGAGTGGCAGCGGGGACTCACCGGTTCCACTCAGGAGGCCAGAGGCGAGGTCGGCGGGGCGGGGCCGTGGCGCCGGGGCGGGCCCTGACCCGGTCGAACGTAAGCCTAGGGGCGGGGCCGGAGTTCCCCGCCGCGACCCTGCTTAGGGGCGGGGCTAGAGTGCTGGGCGGGTTCTAATGGGCGGGGCCCGGCGGACGGGGCGGAGCCCTGATGACGCACAGCCAAGCATGGAGGCGGAGCTAAAGTGCGAGGACAGGTTTACAGTATTAGGGCGGGTCGTGACCGGCGCCACTCTGTATAGGGGCGGGGCTAGAGTGCAGAGCGGGGCTCAACGGAGCGGGGCCTTGATGGGGCGGGAAGGCACTTGCTTCAGAAGCCAGAAGACGGAGAGGGGAGGCTAGATGTACAGAGGGTAGACGGGTCAGCAAAGGCGGCGAAGCGGCAGCGGGAAGGGGGAAAGAGAAAATGGAAATGGGAACGGGTCCTGAGGGGAGACGGAGTCCTGAGGGGAAACGGGGTCCTGAAGGGAAAAGGGGTCCTGAGGGGGAACGGGGTCTTGAGGGGAAAAGGGGTCCTGAGGGGAAACGGGATCCTGAGGGGCGACGGGATTCTGAGGGGAGACGGGATTCTGAGGGGGCGGCTCCGGAGGGGAAACAGGGTCCTGAGGGGAGACGGGGTCCTGAAGGGAAAAGGGGTCCTGAGGGGGAACGGGGTCTTGAGGGGAAAAGGGGTCCTGAGGGGAGACAAGATTCTGAGGGGGTAGGTCCGGAGGGGTAACGGAGTCCTGAGGAGAGACGGGGTCCTGAGGGGACGAGTTCTGAGGGGAAACGGGGTCCTGAGGGGATGAGTCCGAGGCGTAGCTAAAGTGCGAGGACGGGTTTTGCAGTATTAGGGCGGGTCGTGACGGCGAGACTCTGCATAGGGGCGGGTCCTGAGGGGAGACGGGTTCCTGAGGGGAAGGTTCTGAGGGGGTGGTGACAGGTCCTGAGAGAAGACATAGGGACAAGTCCTTGGGACCGGGCAGGACACTGCTGAAGTGAGCGGAGTGGTGGGCGGCGGGGGAGGGGGGTTCAGCGACTTGAGCGCTAGGTGGGCCCTCGTCGCCGACCCCGCCCTGACCGGACCCATCCACCTCCCGCCCGCGGAACCTCCCCCGTGAGCTACTCCAGCCGCCGCCTCCGGCCTCCCCGACACGGGCCACGCTCTCGGACCCCTGGCCCATCGGCCTCTATTCCTTCCGCAGCCAGCAGCCCGCCGCGCGTCCCCGGTCGCTGTGCCCTCGGCGCCCGCGGCCTCCCGCACCAAATGCTGCCGGAGAAGGCGCGCGGCTGCTGCCCTCGCAGCCCGCGGGCGCTGGCCCCCGGGGCCACCACGCCGGCAGGCACACCGGCCAGCCGCCCCTCCCGGCCGCGGCCGTCTCCACTCCGTCAGCCCCCGCCCGTCTTCCTGTGCCCTCCTCGCTCTCAGAGAAAGACCTCCTTCCGCAGAGTTGCAGCCGCGGGCTGGGGTCCCGGCCGCCCGCCGGGCACCCCGGGCCCTGCCCTGCCCGGACTGGCAGCCTCGCTCCGCAGGAGCCCTTTCGCAGGTCTCGCCGCACTCGTCTCCGCCGGCCCCTTCGCGCGCACACCAACCAACCCCGGTTTCTCTCCTGGAAGGAAGCTCTCAACTCCGAACGCCGAGCCTCACCGGTGACAGGCAGCCCGCCCTCGGCGGCGTCTTCTCAGCACCCTTCGCCCCGCTCCGGGCCTTCTCCGCCCGTGGTCATGCTGCCGTCGCTCTGACAAAGGGTCTTGAACGCCAAGTGGCCGAGGCATTAGCGCTCTTCTTGCTTGCCCTCTCCTCAGCCTTCATTGTGGTGACGCTCGGCCCCCGGGGAAGCCGTCTCTTGGCTGCTGTGACATTCCGCTTTTGAGGTTGCCCCAGCTCTCTGGCTGCTGCTTTGCCAGCTTCCCCACCTGCGCGGGCTCAGGGCTGTGTCCCAGCCTCTCCTACTGGGCTCTCTCCTCGGGTGGTCTCCCCACCGCCTGCGGCTCCCGTGCCCCCAGCGCGCGGGTCTCTGCTCTCTAGCGCGGACCTGTCCTCCCGGCCCCAGGTGCCTACCGCCGCGGCTTCCGACATGCTCCACACGGATGTCGGGTGAATGCCCGAAAGTCGCTTTATCCAAAGTACCACTCATTCGCTTCCAAACTATATTTCCTTCTCCCGGCTCCCCTTCGGCAACGGCACAAGCAGAGCCTGTGTGCCACGGGTCAAAATAGTCCAAAGTTGTCAGTTAAGCTCACAAAGTGTCAAATTATGTTCTATTTTCCTAACTGACAAAAAATTTTGTAACAACCTGAAAGATGAAGTTTAAATTTAGGGTTCTTGTAGTCCCTGGAGTTCTGTGCCACAGTGCGGTGGCCTGGGGAGAGCGGGCCCCCTGCCCGACCCTCACCCTCACCCTTTCTGTCCCCTCCCATCTGGGCTGCGAGGGGCCTGGTACTCATGCTGTGAGCCCCCACGAGCCCAAGCTGCCTTTCCTTCCTGTTCTTTCTACGTGAGGATGGGCCGGCGCTCCGGCTGGAGGGTGTAGGAGGTGGCGCTGTGCACGGGGTGCGGGGAACAGAAGGGCTGGCCCAGAAAGAGGAATCGAAGGTGGAGTTCATGGCAGCAAAGCAAGAGTCAGAGCCTCTTCCTCTACGAGGAAGGCCAGTCGGAAGAAAGGAGCAAGGGGAACAGGCAGGGTGACGAAGTGGCTGAGACAGATCCTCCAAGGCAACAACGGGGGCCTTCCTTGGCTGGGCCTGGGAACGGGGAGCTCTGCAGTCTTGGGTGGTGGCGCCGTCCGTCGCCCAGCCGCCCCAGCCGGAGCGGCGGAGGCTTCCTGGACTCCTTCTTTTTCATCCCTCATACCCAGGCAGCTACTTTTCTCACTAAATAACTTGAATCAATTTTTCTCACTGCTAGTTCATGCCATCCTCCTCCACCGGCATGACTGCACACCTCAGTCTAACGCCTTCCTGCCTCACTCTTGTCTCCCTTGAATCCGTTTTTCCCACAGCATCTGGACTGATCTTTTCAACTTTTTATTAAATTATTGGGGTGACGTTGGTTCATAGGATCCTATAGGTTTCTGTTTATTGCACTGCGTACTCACCAACCAAAGCCAAACCGTCTTCTGTCACGATATATTATGCCCCTTCCACCCACCCCCACTCTTGTTTTCTGCTTCCTTCTGGTCACCACCACCCTGCTGCCTGTGTCCCTGAGTTTTGGAATGGTCTTCCCGAGGCACAGACATAATTACTCCCTGTTAGAAACCACCAGTGTCTGCTTATTGCCTTGAGAAACATGTCCAAACTCATGATCATGTCACTCGCAGTCCTGGGCGATCAATGCCTATGACCTCTCCAGCTACATTGTTCACCTCTCACTGGCCCCAACCCAAACAAATATCCCCCCTGACATACATACATCACACAAACACATACATTCATACACATCACACACAAAAACATTCACACCCTATCACGCAGCAACTCACGAAGCAGTCATACACACCGCACATAATTACTCTCATGTACTCATACCACACACATGTTCCCGCACACAACACACTCTCAAGGCACACATACCACACCCCCCCATCACACACCTACACCACACACTTTATACACATACCACACAATACGCACATGTCACACTGTACACTGCACACTCATGGACCACACACCCCTGCAGACCACATTCACATGCTCACACACCTGAGACAACAGGTGATTCAATCATACATGCTCATACCCCTCCCACTCCATCCCTGTACCCACATGGTCTCACATACATACCACACACTCAATACTCACACACACACCCAGAGCCTGGCTGATCTGTATCTCATTCTTGCACCCCAGGTCTAGGCCTTTTACAACTTGCTCCTCCTCCCAGAATTCCCCTTGCCCCCTGCTTTACAACCAGCTGTCTGGGCTCGCCTTCTCCAGAAAGTCTTTCCTAATCCCCTAATCTTGACCCTTCAGGAGTTGGAAAACCAGAAGTGGTCCAAGGATTTTCTATGAATCAAACTTAAGAGGAGAAGGCTTGCTTGGTTAGCCTGGGAGTAGGAAACCAGAGTCTTAAACTGTGAGATTTCTTAAACGTCGTACCTCCCTGTGTGTATTAGTTTTGTCACCCTGTCCATTGTCTCAGTCTTTAGCAGTAGAACCTTTCAAACAAGAGGGGCCTGTGTGCTTGTCATCAGTGAGGGGGGGACTGCTAGACTGGTCCCATGCCACAGCCAGGGTGAATGGCAGGGAACCCAGTGGGTAGGGAGCAAGGGGAGGCAGCTTTCCAGAGTAACAGCTTTGAGCTTGAAGTGGGGTGGGGAAGGAGCGCAGACCTCAGGGCTTTAGCACCCTAGTGGAAAGGACAAGCTCTTAATCAGAAGTGTGGCTAGGGACCTGAATTGCAGGGACTCACTGGGCCTGCAAGAGCCTCTGAGGGCATCACTTCTAGTGGAGGGTTGAAACCCACAGCGGGCAGGTTTGCTGGGGGTGGAGGGCAGGGCCCGAGCAGCCTGGAAGCAGCAGTGCTTAAGTTGAGTTGGTGGGGGGAGGCCCGAAGGTGCTCTTGGAACTCAGAAAGAGAAGGGTTTTTAATCCCCAATGACATACAGAGGTTCAGAAGGACATGGCACCTAGGAAGCCATTTGTGACCTTCCTCTAAGAGCAGTGTCAGGGTCCAGTGCCAAGCTGTAGTAGGGGCTTATGGGACGGAGACGGAAAGAACAGAGTCCTCTCAGGAAAGACAATAGGTTCACACATGAGTGAAGAGAGTAGGGTCACAGCAGGTGGAGTGACAGGGAAGGAGGACTTTGAAAGGAGGAGGGGAGATGTGGATGTTAACCACCACTGCATTTTGTCACCTCCTAGCCCTATAGAATTGTCACCAACACACTGATAGCCAACGACTCCTGTTGTCACAACCTGGGATCTTACCACCCCCCTAAAATTCCCCCTCTGATCTCTTCAGTGCGAACCATGTTTGGCCCCCATTTGCCCATTCTTCCAGCACCTGCCTTGTTCCCGTCCCCACATTCAGCTGTGCAGCCTCTTTGGTCTCCAGGCCTCTGAGTGCCTGCCTGGCTCAGCCCCTGAACTCCGGGTCTAACTCCTCACAGCGTCACTTCAACTGTTTTTCTTCCCACCCCTGTAACTTCTCTGCCCATTCTCACCTCACAATACCCAGTAAATCTCCAGGCCCAGGGCTCTGTCACATACTAATTCCCAGACCTCCAGCTTCGGCCCTGGTTTCCGCCCTTGGCTTCTAGACTTGGGTTGTCAGTGGCCTGCTGGCCATCTCTGAGTGGGCAGTGCTGGGGCAGGGGGTCAGGGGTGCTAAGGGTGAAGGATGGAGGAAAAGGGTGGGAGGCTGAGGGTGAGTCACATGCCAGACGCTGTAGGCCAGCACATTTGGATTCCAGAGCCGGGAAGTTCCCGGACTATGGAGCTGCCGGGAAGTTCAGCTGAGGGGGAGGGAGTGGGCGGGGGCTCCTCCCGCCAGGTGAATGGGATTGGTGCCTAGTTCTGCCCTTTCATTCCAATGGTCCTGTGTCCTCATCCTCCCCTCACCTGGTGGGGCCACTGTCCTCCTACAAGTTTGTTACCATCTGTGCCCTTCTCCCCATGACTCCCGAGACCCCAGCACACAGCCTGTCCTCTTTGGTGCAGCCTCACGCTTCCCTTCCCGCTCTCCTTGAATTCACGCCTCTTATAGTTACCCTGGCGTTGAGAAGGGCCAGTTGCCACCTCGCCATGCCCGCTGGTGAACCCGCTGATGCCCAGGCCACCTGCCTGTGTCTTGATTGCTGACTTGAGCTCGTGATTCTCCCGAATGAGCCGCACCAGCTTCTTCAGTTCCTCATTTTCCCTCACCAGCCTCTCGATCTGATGCCGAAGCCCCTCATAACTGGTGAGTAGAGACATGCCCCAGGGCAGCGGGAAGGGTGCCGCCCACTGGAGGGCACTGCACCTGGAGGCTGCCCAAGGCCCCGGGCCTTGCCCGGGCTGGAGGAGGGCGCCAGAGTTTGCAAGTGGCAAGGCTGGCCCAAGGGGTATTGTGAGGTCAGAGCCTGTGCCCTCCTCCTTGCCCTCTCTGCTCTAATAGGCTCAGCTCTCTGTGCCTCCGGGCCCGTGCACAGACCCTGCCTTGGTCTGGAATGTACTGATCCCTTCTCTGTCCAGACAACTTCACTCTTAAGCTGCCCCTCTATGAAGCTTCCTCTTTCCCATGGCAAGCTAGTCGCGGCTCTCTAGGCTCCCCCATAGGTGCGCTTTCTATCATAGCACTTACCTGGCTCGGTCTGGTTAGTTCTTTAAGGTGGTTTTATTCTCTGCATTGAGGGCAGGGACTGTGGGAGTCCCCAGAATTCAACAAAGGGCCTGGTGCAGCATAGGTAGGTAGTCAGTGAATATCTGTTGAATGAAAACTCATCACCCTCCTTTCTGGCCAGAGTGCCCTTTTCTTCTGATCTTGGGCATGCCCAGGTATGGCCTGTCATCCTTCTCCTGGGGACATTCTATCTTGGACACCTGGACACTGGACCATGCTTTCTTCTGATCCCAGGTGCTCAGGGTCTTTCCCTGACTGCGAGCCCAGGAGATTCCTTGTCCAAGCACCTGGCTCCCTATAACTTGGAGTTTCCTTTTCTGGTGACTCAAGTTCCCTTCTTCCAAATCTCCTGGCAGCAGCCACTTTGTGCCCATAACTCTATTCTCTGGCTCCTTGGTTTTTCCTGACTGTAGACCTTCAAGAAGCTGACCACATTTCTTGTTAGGTCCCAAGAACTCAACTCTCTGAGTCCTCAGTGTGACCCCTTTTGAAAGAGCTGCCTACGCAGAGATCTTAGTGGGCCTGACCTCGGGAGTCAGGCGAGGCCGTGGCCTCGTGACCTCTGCTGGGCCTGCGGGCATCCGCTCTCAAAAAGGAGAGCAGGGTGAAGTCCAGGTATGAGCCAGAGGGCACACGCCTGGTAGGAGGGTGGGGCAAGGACAGGGTTGAAGATCAGCCAGGGCTGGGTCAGTCCGAGTGGAGCATTCTACTTGGACCTCACAATGGTGGGGGGACTTGCCCCCCCCCCCTCTGAGGCCCTGGACTGTAATCCTGGGTGAGTCACTCTGGCCCTGGGAACAGTGCCTAGATGTCCTCAGTGGAGCAGGTCGAGACTCCGTACCCTGGGCTTTTTTCTTGATCTCGCCTGAGGATATGTTTATTGATGTTAGAGAGAGAGGAAGCGGGGCAGAGAGAGAGGCAGGGATGTGAGGGAGAGATATAGATCAGTTGCCTCCTGAATGCGCCTCAACCAGGGACTGAACCTGAAACCTAGATATGTGCCCTGACCAGGAATCAAAGCTGCAACCTTTTTAAAAAGATTTAAAAAAGAGAGATTTTATTTATTTTTAAACAGAGGGGAAGGGAGGGAGAAAGAGAGGGAGATAAAATCAATGTGTGGTTCCTCTCATGTTCCCCTCACCAGGGACCTGGCCCACAACCCAGGCCTGTGAACTGACTGGGAATCGAACCTTTGGCGACACTTTGGTTCACAGGCCGGTGCTCAGTCCACTGGGACACACCAGCCAGGGTCTTAAAGATATTTTATTTGTTTATTTTTTGAGAGAGGGGAGGGAGAACGAGAGGGAGAGAAACATCAATGTGTGAGAGATACATTGATTGGTTGCCTCTTGCACACCCCCAGCTGGGGACCTGGCCCACAACCCAGGAATGTGCCCTGACTGGCTATCAAACCGGCGACCTCACAGTTCACAGGCCGGCGTTCAGTCCACCAAGCCACACCAGCCAGGGCAAACCTGCAGCCTTTCGGTGCATGGACAATGCTCCAACCAACTGAACCACCCACCCAGGGTACACCCTCTGCTCTCTACAGAACCTCTGCTTGGCTTTCCTTCAGCAGGTGAAAACAGGCTTCCCATTTAGCCTTCTCCGTCCTCTTCCTCTCCTTGGGTTGACGCCATCTTTACCATCTGTGATGGTTCGATTGTATGTGTCAGTTTGGCTAGGCTATGGTGGCCAGGTGTTTGTGTGGGGTATGTTGTAGCTGTGATTAAGAGAGATAACTCTCAGTCTTGTGAGTGGGCTTGGTCCAGTCATTTGAAAGCCTTAAATGCAGAACATTGAGGTTTTCTATGGAAGAAGAAATTCTTCTCTCAACACTGTCCTAGAAATCCCATCTGAGTTTCCAGCCTGCTGGCCTGCTCTACGGATTTCGGATTTGCCAGCCCCCACAACTGATGAGCCAATTCTTTAAAACAAATCTTTTGAAAAGAACTGTGACTGATATACTATCTCTATTTCCTTTTGTTCTGTGCTTCTTTCCTCCCAAAGATATATACTGAGCACCACCGGTGTGTGAGACATTTTGTTAGGAGTCAAGGGTTCAGTGCTTGTTATAATCTGGCACTGCCCCTGCCTTACTGACGGTAGCGTGTAGCAGGGAGCAGCTGTGAATTGAGTGATCACATGTAAACGTCGGATGGCCACGTGGTACTGGGAGAGGGTCACGGGAAGGTCAGACCTGGTCAGCTCAGGGCAGCCTTCCCTGAGGAAGCTGACGATGGGGATGCTACGCAGGGCTCTCTGGTGTGGGAACAGCTTCCCAGCAGAGAGTGCACCTGTACAGAGGTCGCGGGGCAGGCGCCTGACTGAAGGAACTGAAAGGTGCTGGCCTGGGATGGGGAGAGGAGGAGACAGGACACAGGTGCTGAGGGAGGGTACTGGGTTCAGGCTGTGACAAGGCCTTGGGGCCAAGGGAGTGATGTTGATCTTCATCCTAAGGGCCTTGGGAACCCCTTGAAGTCTTAAGGGAGGGGGTGTGGGAATGGGTTGAAGAGGAAAGAGCCACTGCAGTCACCTGAGCCAGCTAAGAGGGCGCTCACTGCAGGTGGGAGAGGGAAGTGGGCAGCGTTGATGAAAGTCTAGTGGCGCCCCCGGGGCTGGTCTCGGCGCGGGCGGGAGCGAGGACAGCCTAGCGTTTTCCTGCACGGGAGCCTCTGCCGCCAGCCTCTCCGCGACCGCGACCGGCTGCGCACCATAGAGCCCCCACCCCGGGCTCCCCCAGCTGAGTTGCAGCCCCTGACCTTTTCTTCGTATTCACCTTCTCCAGGCTTGTCAGCTCTCTCTATTCTTATTTCCTCGTCATTCCAATTTTCTTGCCTTTTTTGTTGTTCTTGTTATATCACGTATATAACTGTCTTTTGGTATCCAAATCTATCAGGTTTGAGTTTGGGTTACTGTAGCAGAAGTTTGGAAAGCAAGGGATTTATCCAAAAATTTATTTACATTAATTTGGCTCCTGTGTTCGGAGGAAAGAGTCTGTGGAGCGGGAGCTACTACACTGGGCTTTGCCCTCTTCTATCCGAGTCTTATCTCTGAGCCTTGGGACGGTGTCACTTTGGAATGGCCCTCGGTTCCTGACTGCCAGCTCACACCTGCAGGAGTGACAGGAACCTTTTGGTGTCCATTCGGGGTTTGTGCTCCTCACGGGCCTGTTAGAATTTGCTGCGAGCAAACCTTCGGTGTTTTCCCACTTTCTTCTGCTGAGTCAGATTCCCGCAGCCATGGGTCACTGGCTTTTGCACTGTTTGTTCCCGTTCACATTTGCCTCATTAGGTTCAGCTCAGTGTGGGGTTGGCGAGACTTTTGGGGATCTCTGCTCCCATCTTGGCTTGGGATTCTTTGTGGGTTTAATAAGCTTTGTTGTAAAGTTGCCTTCTCAATGCATAACGTTGCTGAAGAACAGGGAGCTTTAACCTGGAGCCCTCTGTCCATAACCCCTTCTACTTCCTGCCCAGGCAGATAATACAAATGCCTCGTCCTACAGGTGACGGCACTGAGGCACTGCCATGTCAAGGGCCTGGGCTCTCCTTCAGTGCCCACAACCAGTCCATTCTTCCAGTGCTTGCCCAGCTGTCTTGGTTGGGACAGCCTAGTCTCTGGCCTGCTCTTCCCACCCCAGCCTCACCCCTGCAGCTGCAGCCTTTCTCTGCATACTGGCCAAGGGCGGGAGGTCTTTCTGACTCCCCCAGTGGGTCAAGGCCGTGCTCAGAGAGAAGGCTAAGGTGATGTCCCGGGGGACCAGAGCCCAGTGCAGCTCCTGGTACATAGTAGGTGCTCAATAAATGTATGAATGCATTTTTATTCAACATCCTTTCTTTTTCCTACCACTAAGCTGGAGGAGATGTGTTGGCCAGCAGCAGAGACAGGCCAGGTGCTCACTGACCTGCCGAGTGTCTGCTACGAGCCCCTGGGTTTCTGAGTGAGTCAGTTGTCCCCTCCAAGAGTCTGGAGGGCTGTGGGAAGGCAGAGGGCCCCAGGGCGGTCAGGGACGTCTGCCAGTCTACCTGCAGCCTCGCCAGCCAGAGCTGTGAAGAAGGGCCTCAGGGAAAAGACTGCAGGTCTCAGCTAGAGGCGGAGTCTTCTGGGAGTGTGACCTTGGTCACCAACCTCAAGGGTTATCCAGGCACTCCTCCTGAAAGGCTCAGGGGCGGGAGGCCAGGGCAGAGACCAGGAGGGCCCTTTCGGCTCTGGAGTCTTGGCAACTTCTCCATGCTGTTAATCCCAGGCCAGGCGTTGGGGCCCGTGAAGGACAGAGCGGTCGGCCCCAAGGGAGGGGAGCGAGACGAGCACCAGGCTGCAGGCGGCATGTGGTGGGGGTTCCAGATCCTCAGACTCCAAGGCTCCGCCTCAGGCCTGTGTGGCTCCAACCCTGATCCTCATTTGACTCCTATTCCTTCTCCAGACCTCAGCCCCTGAGACGCCCGCAGGGCCTCTGCCAGCAGCATCAGTGTAGTTACGCACTTTGCTCTGGCTTTGTCGCTGGGCTAAGTCCCCAGGGCAGGCCCCTGTCCCTGCACCTGTCATGTGGGGTAGCCGTGCTCCTCCTTCCCACCCTGGAGGCCTAGAGAGGCAG